ATCCATTGTCCGATCAAATGCAAAAGGGCCAAAGAACCTGTCGGACCATCTATTCCCCTCCACGTTCACTTAGCACCCCACCCAGCTCCTTCTCTGAATCTCTTGACTAATATCCGTTCCCATTTGACAAATCAGAGAGGACATGGTTCGGGCTGCACCAGGACGCTCAACAATACCTATAACTCGAAGAACGAAGCAGAAACGACAACAAAGGGAATGATTGAGGCAGAAATCCGATGCCATTGGAAAAGAATGAAAGATACGGGAAAAGTCGAAAAACCGCCCCGCGAGGAAACCTTTGTATCCATTTCCCCCCACATGGGGAAAAACGAGCCACAGGCCCCAAAATCACTTTCGGCGTCATTTTTGCAACCCGCAAAACACTCTCTCGTCATTTTTACACATTGGCCGTTACCGCGCCAGCTAGGGTGCAAAAATGACATCAAAAGCTTGGCTACCAGCCGAGCCGTCCGGGTCAACATATTTTCCCAGGCGGCCCGGCCGTGCAAGGACCTGCAAAGGTCCCAGCCAAAAAGAAAAAAGAAAACAAAAATAAAAAAACAATGAAAAAAAAGTATGTTATACAGAAAAATAATCAGAACTCTTGCCTCATCGTTACATCGAAATTGAAAGAACAACGACCCTAACAACTCGGACCTATGCGTCATCTGTTCAAACTAAGAACAAGAGGACATAATCCATTGTCCGATCATATGCAAAAGGGCCAAAGGACCTGTCGGAGCATCTATTCCTCTCTACGTTCCCTGAGCACCCTACCCAACTCCTTCTCTGAATCTCTGGACTAATATCCCTTCCCAGTTGACAAATCAAAAAGGACATGGTTCGGGCTACAGCAAGACGCTCAACAATACCCAGAACTCGCAGAACGAAACAGGGACGACAACGAAGGGAATGATCGAGGCAGAAATCCGCTGCCATTGGAAAAAAATGAAAGATGCGGGAAAAGTCGTAAAACCGCCCCGCGACGAAACCTTTGTATCCATTTCCCCCCCCACAGGCCCCAAAATCCCTTTCCGCGTCATTTTTGCACCCTGCAAAACACTTTCCCGCCATTTTTATACAGTGGCCGTTACCGGGCCAGCCAGGGTGCAAAAATGATACCAAAAGCTAGGCTTCCAGCCGGGCCTACGGGTCACCCTATTTTCCCACGCAGCCCAGCCGTGCAAGCACCAGGGAAGGTCCCAGCCAAAAAGAAAAAAGAAAACAAAAATCCAAAAAAAATGAAAAAAAACTTAGTTATGCACAAAAATAAACTGAACAATTTTTGCCTCAGGGTTACATTGAAACTAAAAGAACAGCGACCCTAACAACTCGGACCTATGCGTCATCTGTTCAGACCAAGAACAAAAGGACCTAATCCATTGTCCGATCAAATGCAAAAGGGCCAAAGAACCTGTCGGACCATCTATTCCCCTCCACGTTCACTGAGCACCCCACCCAGCTCCTTCTCTGAATCTCTTGACTAATATCCGTTCCCAGTTTGACAAATCAGAGAGGACATGGTTCGGGCTGCACCAGGATGCTCAACAATACCTATAACTCGAAGAATGAAGCAGGGACGGCAACAAAAGGAATGATTGAGGCAGAAATCTGATGCCATTGGAAAAGAATGAAAGATGCGGGAAAAGTCGTAAAACCGCCCCGCGACGGAACCATTGTATCCATTTCCCCCCACACGGGGAAAAACGTATCGCAGGCCTCAAAATTATATTCGGCGTTACTTTTGCACCCTGCGAAACACTTTCCCGCCATTTTTAAACAGTGCACGTTACCGGGCCAGCCAAGGTGCAAAAATGATACCAAAAGCAAGGCTACCAGCCGGGCCGTCCGGGTCACCCTATTTTCCCAGGCGGCCCGACCGTGCAAGGACCAGGGAAGTTTCCAGCCAAAAAAAAAAAATAAAAAAAAATCCAAGAAAAAGAAATAAAATCTATGTTATGCAGAAAAATAAACTAAGTAACTTTTGCCTCCGCGTTACATCGAAATTGAAAGAACAACAACCCTAACAGCTCGGACCTATGCGTCATCTGTTTAGACCAAAAACAAGAGAACCTAATCCACTGTCCGATCATATGCAAAAGGACCAAAGAACCTGTCGGAGCATCTATTCCCCTGTACGTTCCCTGAGCACCCCACCTAGCTCCTTCTCTGAATTTGTGGACTAATATCCCTTCCCAGTTTGACAAATCAGAGAGGACATGGTTCGGGCTACAGCAAGACGCTCAACAATACCCTGAACTCGCAGAACGAAGCAGGGACGACAACGAAGGGAATTATTGGGGCAGAAATCCAATGCCATTGGAAAAGAATGAAAGATGCGGGAAAAGTCGTAAAACCGCCCGACGACGAAACCTTTGTATCAATTTCCCCCCACACGGGAAAAAACGTGCCAAAGGCCCCAAAATCCCTTTCGGCGTCATTTTTGCACCCTGCAAAACACTTTCCCACCATTTTTATACAGTGGCCGTTACTGGGCCAGCAAGGGTGCAAAAATGATACCCAAAGCTAGGCTTGCAGCCGGGCCGTTCGGGTCACCCTATTTTCCCAGGCAGCCCGGCCGTGCAAGGACCAGGCAAGGTCCCAACCAAAAAGAAAAAAAAAAACAAAAATCCAAAAAAAACGATAAAAAACTATGTTATGCAGAAAAATAAAGTGAACAACTTTTGCCCCAGGGTTACATCGAAACTGAAAGAACTACGACCCTAACAACTCGAACCTATGCCTCATCTGTTCAGACCAAGAACAAAAGGACCTAATCCACTGTCCGATTAAATGCAAAAGGGCCAAAGAACCTGTCGGACCATCTATTCCCCTCCACGTTCACTGAGCACCCCACCCAACTCCTTCTCTGAATCTCTGGACTAATATTCCTTCCCAGTTTGACAGATCAGAGAGGACATGGTTCGGGTTACAACAAGATGCTCAACAATACCCTGAACTCGCAGAACGAAGCAAGGACGACAACGAAGGGAATGATTGAGGCAGAAATCTGATGCCATTCGAAAAGAATGAAAGACGCAGGAAAAGTCGTAAAACCGCCCCGGGACGAAACCTTTGTATCCATTTCCCCCCACACGGTAAAAAACGTGTTGCAGGCCTCAAAATCCCTTTCGGCGTCATTTTTGCACCCTTGAAAACACTTTCCCGCCATTTTTATACAGTGGCCGTTACCGGGCCAGCCAGGGTGCAAAAATGATAACAAATGCTAGGCTTCCAGGAGGGCCGTTTGGGTCACCATATTTTCCCTGGCGGCCCGGCCGTGCAAGGACCAGGGAAGGTCCCAGCCAAAAAGAAAAAAGAAAACAAAAATCCAAAAAAAAAGAAAAAAAACTATGTTATGCAAAAAAATAAACTGAACAACTTTTGCCTCAGGGTTACATTGAAACTAAAAGAACAGCGACCCTAACAACTCGGACCTATGCGTCATCTGTTCAGACCAAGAAGAAAAGGACATAATCCATTGTCCGATCAGATGCAAAAGGGCCAAAGAACCTGTCGGACCATCTATTCCCCTCCACGTTCACAGAGCACCGCACCCAACTCCTTCTCTGAATCTCAAGACTAATATCCCTTCCCAGTTTGACAAATCAGAGAAGACATGGTTTGGGCTGCAGCACGACGCTCAACAATACCTATAACTCGCAGAACGAAGCGGGGACGACAACGAGAGAAATGATAAAGGCAGAAATCCGATGCCATTGGAAAAGAATGAAAGATGATGGAAAAATCGTAAAATCGCCCCGCGACGAAACCTTGGTATGCATTTCCCCCCACATAGGGAAAAACGTGCCGCATGCCCCAAAATCACTTTCGACGTCATTTTTGCACCCTGCAAAACACTTTCCCGCCATTTTTAAACAATGGCCGTTACCGGGCCAGCCAGGGTGCAAAAATGACACCAAAAACTAGGCTACCAACCGGACCGTCTGGGTCACCTTGTTTTCCAAGGCGGCCCGACCGTGCAAGGATCTGAAAAGGTCCCAGCCAAAAAGAAAAAAAACAATAAAAATCCAAAAAGAATAAAAAAAACTATGTAAGGCAGAAAAAAATACTGAACAACTTTTGCCTCAGGGTTGCATCGAAATTGAAAGAAAAGCGACCCTAAAAACTCGGACCTATGCGTCATCTGTTCAGACTAAGAACAAGAGGACCTAATCCACTGTCCGATCAAATGCAAAACAGCCAAAGAACCTGCCGGACCATCTGTTGCCGTCAGGCTCCACGTTCCCTGAGCACCCAACCCATCTCCTTCTCTAAATCTCGGGACTAATATCGCTTCCCAGTTTGACAAATCAGAGAGGACATGGTTCAGGCTGCAGCAGGACGCTCCACAATACCCAAAACTCACAGAACGAAGAAGGGACGGCAACGAAGGGAATGATTTAGGAAAATCCGATTGCATGGAAAAAAATGAACGATGAGGGAAAAGTCGTAAAACCACCCCGCTACGAAACCTTTGTAATCATTTCCCCCCCCACAGGGAAAAACGTGCCCCAGGCCCCAAAATAATTTTCGGCGTTATTTTTGCACCCTGCAAAACACCTTCCTGCCATTTTTACACAGTGGCCGTTACCGGGCCAGCCAAGGTGCAAAAATGACACCAAAAGCTAGCCTACCAACCGGGCCGTCCGGGTCACCCTATTTTCCCAGGCGGCCCGGCCGTGCAAGGATCAGGCAGGTCCCGGCCAAAAAGAAAAAAAAAAACAAAAATCAAAAATATAAAATAAACAACTATGTTATGCAGAAAAATAAACAAAACAACTTTTGCCTCAGGGTTACATCGAAATTGAAAGAACAGCGACCCTTATAGCTCGGACCTATGCGTCATCTGTTCAGACCAAGAACAAGAGGACCTAATCCACTGTTCGATCAAATGCAAAAGGGTCAAAGAACCTGTCGGACCATCTATTCCCCTCCACGTTCATTGCGCACCCCACCCAACTCCTTCTCTGAATCTCTGGACTGATATCCATTCCCAGTTTGACAAATCAGAGAGGACATGGTTCGGGCTACAGCAAGACGCTCAACATTACCCAGAACTCGCAGAACGAAGCAGGGACGACAACGAAGGGAATGATTGAGGCAGAAATCCGATGCCATTGGAAAAGAATGAAAGATGCGGAAAAAGTCGTAAGACCGCCCCGCGATGAAACCTTTGTATCCATATCCCCCCACACGGGGAAAAACGTACCGCAGACCCCAAAATCAATTTCGGCGTCATTTTTGCACCCTGCAAAACACTTTCCCGCCATTTTTATACAGTGGCCATTACCGGGCCAGCCAGGGTGCAAAAATGATACCAAAAGCTAGGCTTCCAGCCGGGCCGTACAGGTTATCCTATTTTCCCACGCAGCCCGGCCGTGCAAGCACCAGGGAAGGTCCCAGCCAAAAAGAAAAAAGAAAACAAAAATCCAAAAAAAGAGAAAAAAAACTATGTTATGCAGAAAAATAAACTAAACAACTTTTGCCTCCGGGTTACATTGAAATTGAAAGATCAGCGACCCTAACAACTCGGACCTATGCGTCATCTGTTAAGACCAAGAACAAGAGGACCTAATCCACTGTCCGATCAGATGCAAAAGGGCCAAAGAACCTGCCGTACCATTTATTCTCCTCCACGTTCCCTGAGCACCCCACCCAGCTCCTTTTCTGAATCTCTGGACTAATATCCCTTTTCAGTTTGACAAATCACATAGGGCATGGTTCGGGCTACAGCAAGACGCTCAACAATACTCAGAACTCGCAGAACGAAGCAAGGACGAAAACGAAGGGAATCATTGAGGCAGAAATCCGATGCCATTGGAAAAGAATCAAAGATGTGGGAAAAGTCGTAAAACCGCCCCGCGACGAAACCTTTGTATCCGATTCCCTCCACACGGGGAAAAATGTGCTGCAGGCCCCAAAATCACTTTCGGCGTCATTTTTGCAGCCTGCAAAACACTTTCCCGCAGTTTTTACAAAGTGGCCGTTACCGGGCCAGCCAGGGTGCAAAAATGATACCAAAAGTTAGGCTTCCAACCGGGCCGTCCGGGTCACCCTATTTTCCCAGGCGGCCCGGCCGTGCTAGGACCAGGGAAGAACCCAGCCAAAAAGAAAAAAGAAAACAAAAATACAAAAAAACTGGAAAAAAAACTATGTTATGCAGAAAAATAAACTGAACAACTTTTGCCTCAGGGTTACATCGAAATTAATAAAAGAAGAGCAACCCTAACAGCTCGGACCTATGCGTCATCCGTTCAGACCAAGAACAAGAGGACCTAATCCACTGTCCAATCAGATGCAAAAGGACCAAAGAACATGTCGAACTATCTATTCCCCTCCACATTCCGTGAGCACCGGACCCAGCTCCTTCTCCGAATCTCTGGACTAATATCCCTTCCCAGTTTGACAAATCAGAGAGGACATGGTTCGGGTTGCAGCAGGACGCTCAACGATACCCATAACTAGCAGAACGAAGCAGGGACGGCAACAAAGGGAATGATTGATGCAGAAATCCGACGCCATTGGAAAAGAATGAAACATGAGGGAAAAGTCGTAAAACCGCCCGGCGATGAAACCTTTGTATCCATTTCCCCCCACACGGGGAAAAACGTGCCGCTGGCCCCAAATTCATTTTCTACGTTATTTTTGCACCCTCCAAAACACTATCCCGCCATTTTTACACAGTGGCCAGTACCGAAACTGTCAAGTTGCGAAAATGACACCAAACGCTAGGCTACCAGTCGGGCTGTTCGGGTCACCCTATTTTCCCAGGCTGCCTGGCCGTGCAAGGACCAGGGAAGGTCCCAGCCAAAAAGAAAAAAGAAAATAAAAATCCAAAAAAAATGAAAAAAAACTATGTTATGCAAAAATATAACTTAACAACTTTTGCCTCAGGGTTACATCGAAATTCAAAGAACAGCGACCCTTACAGCTTGGACCTATGCGTCATCAGTTCCGACATAGAAGTAGATGACCTTATCCACTGTCCGATCAGATGCAAAAGAGCCAAAGAACCTGCCGGACCATCTATTCCCCTCCACGTTCCAATGACCACCCCACCCAGAACTCGCAGAACGAAGCAGGGACGAAAGTGAAGGGAATCATAGAGGCAGAAATCCGATGCCTTTGGAAAAGAATGAAAGATGTGGGAAAAGTCGTAAAACCGCCCCGCGACGAAACGTTTGTACGCATTTTCCCCCACATGGGAAAAACGTGCCGCAGGCCCCAATATCACTTTCGACGTCATGTTTGCACCCTGCAAAACACTTTTCCGCCATTTTTACACAGTGGCCGTTACCGGGCCAGCAAGGGTGCAAAAATGACACCAAAAGCTAGGCTACCAGCCAAGCCGTTCGGGTCACCTTATTTTCCAGGGCGGCCCTGCCGTGCAAGGACCAAAAAAGGTCCCAGCCAAAAAGAAAAAAAAAAAATGAAAATCCAAAAAAAATGAAAAAAACTATATTATGCAGAAAAATAAACTGAACAACCTTTGCCTTAGGGTTGCATCGAAATTGAAAGAACAGCAACTCTAAAAACTCGGACCTATGCGTCATCTGTTCAGACTAAGAACAAGAGGACCTAATCCACTGTCCGATCATGCAAAACGGCCAAAGAACCTGCCTGACCATCTATTGCCCTCAAGCTCCATGTTCCCTGAGCACCCCACCCATCTCCTTCTCTGAATCTCTGGACTAATATCGCTTCCTAGTTTAACAAATCAGAGAAGACATGGTTCAGGCTGCAGCAGAACGCTCCACAATACCCAGAACTCGCAGAACGAAGCAGGGACGGCAACGAAGGGAATGATTGAGGCAGAAATACGATGTTATTGGAAAAGAATGAAACATGCGGGAAAAGTCGTGAAACCGCCCCGCCACGAAACCTTTGAATCCAGTTCCCCCCACATGGGGAAAAACGTGCCGCAGGCCCCAAAATAATTTTCAGCGTTATTTTTGCACCCTGCAAAACACTTTCCCGCCATTTTTACACAGTGGCTGTTACCGAACCAGCAAAGGTGCAAAAATGACAACAAAAGCTAGGGTACCAGCCGGGCTGTCCGGGTCACCCTATTTTCCCAGGCGGCCTGGCCGCGCAAGGACCAGGGAAGGTCCCAGTCAAAAAGAAAAAACAAAACAAAAATCCAAGAAAAATGAAAAAAAACTATGTTATGCAGAAAAATAAATAGAACAACTTTTGCCTTAGGGTTACATCGAAATTGAAAGAACAGCGACCCTAATAGCTCCGACCTATGTGTCATCTGTTCAGACCAAGAACAAGAGGACGTAATCCACTGTCCGATCAGATGCAAAAGGGCCAAAGAACCTGCCGGACCATCTATTCCCCTCCACGTTCCCTGAGCACCCCACACAGCTCCTTCTCTAAATCTCTGGACTAATATCCGTTCCCAGTTTGACAAATCAGAGAGGACATGGTTCGGGCTGCAGCAGGACGCTCAACAATACCCATAACTCGCAGGACGAAGCGGGGACGGCAACGAAGGGAATGTAGAGGCAGAAATCCAATGCCATTGGAAAAGAATGAAAGATGCGGGAAAAGTCGTAAAACCACCCCGCGACGAAACCTTTGTATGCATCTCCGCCCACAGGAGGAAAAACGTGCCGCAGGCCCCAAAATCACTTTTGATGTCATTTTTGCACCCTACAAAACACTTTCCCGCCAATTTTACAGAGTGGCCGTTACCGGGCCAGCCAAGGTGCTGAAATGACACCAAAAGCTTGGCTACCAGCCGGGCCGTCTGGGTCACCTTATTTTCCAAGGCGGCCCGGCCGTGCAAGGACCAAGGAAGGTCCCAATCAAAAAGAAAAAAGAAAACAAAAATCCAAAAAAAAATGAAAAAGAACTATGTTATGCAGAAAAATAAACTCAACAACTTTTGCCTCAGGGTTACATCAAATTGAAAGAACAGCGAGCCTAACAGCTCGGACCTATGCGTCATCTGTTCAAACCAAGAACAAGAGGACCTAATCCACTGTCCAATCCGATGCAAAAGGGCCAAGGAACCTGTCGAACCATCTATTCCCCTCCACGTTCCTTGAGCACCCCACCCAGCTCCTTCTCCGAATCTCTGGACTAATATCCCTTCCCAGTTTGATAAATCAAAGAGGGCATGGTTCGGGGTACAACAAGACGCTCAACAATACCCAGAACTCGCAGAACGAAGCAGGGATGACAACGAAGGGAATGATTGAGGCAGAAATCCGATGCCATTGGAAAAGAATGAAAGATGTGGGAAAAGTCATAAAACCGCCCCGCGACGAAACCTTTGTATCTTTTTCCCCGCACACGGGGAAAAACGTGTCGCAGACCCCAAAATCACTTTCGACGTCATTTTTGCACCCTGAAAAACACTTTCCCGCCATTTTTACACAGTGGCCGTTACCGGGCCAGCCAGGGTGCAAAAATGATACCAAAAGCTAGGCTTCCAGTCAGGCCGTCCGGGTCACCCTATTTTCCGAGGCGGGCCGGCCGTGCAAGGACCAGGGAAGGTCCCATCCAAAAAGACAAAAGAAAACAAAAATCCAAAAAAAAAAAAAAAAACTATGTTGTGCAAAAAAANAAAACAAAAATCCAAAAAAAAAAAAAAAAACTATGTTGTGCAAAAAAATAAACTGAACAACTTTTGCCTCAGGGTTACATCGAAATTGAAAGAATAGCGACCCTAACAACTCGTACCTATGCGTCATCTTTTAAGACCATGAACAAGAGGACCTAATCCACTGTCCAATCAGATGCAAAAGGGTCAAAGAACCTGTTGGACCATCGATTCCCCTCCACGTTCCCTGAGCAACCGACCCTGCTCCTCCTCTGAATCTCTTGACTAATATCCCTTCCCAGTTTGACAAATCAGAGAGGACATGGTTCGGGCTGCAGCACGACGCTGTACAATACCCATAACTCGCAGAACGAAGCAGGGACGACAACGAAGGGAATAATTGAGGCAGAAATCCGATGCCATTGAAAAATAATTAAAGATGTGGGAAAAGTCGTAAAAACACCCCGCTACGAAACGTTTGGATGCATTTCCACCCACATAGGGAAAAACGTGACGCAGGCCCCAAAATTACTTTCGACGTCATTTTTGCACCCTGCAAAACACCTTCCCGCCATTTTTACACAGTGGCCATTACTGGGCCAGCCAGGGTGCAGAAATGACA